CCTCAGCTGGCGGACTGCCCCGCCTCTGTGGAGAAGTCCGCGCTGAGGCAAAGAGGACCCCAACTCCTCCATGTCCGCCGTTGCCGTGGCCGACTGAAATGGCGAGACGGACGATGGTGGTGCAGGACTCGGAGCAGAAGGTGGCGGTATGGACGACTCCCGCCTCGTCGGAGTGGGGGTCGTCGCCCGCTCCTCTGGGCCGCCCGTGGAAGCGACCTTCCCGAATGGGCCCCAAAACTCCTCCTCTCCCCCTAGCATCTCCCTGTCCGCCCGGTTCGCCGCCCGTCGTGCAGTGTGTGCCCTCGTCTCGTCGTCATCGGAATCGTCGTGCGTCTCGTCGATCTCACGGGGAATGCAGAGCGCAGGGTCATCCGCCGCCTCGGGTACCGGCTCCTCGTCCGAGTCGTCCTCCTTGGGGTAGGGACGAAAAATGCAAGCACGTCTACCGAAAACGGCATCAGCAGAGGGTGGTGCGGAGGCCTCGATGGGATCCAGGGTAATAAGTGCAACCTGACGGGCAATCTCCTCCTCCGTCATCCCCCTGTGAGTCCCCGAGCGCACAGGCTCCACCTTGAGTCCTGCCTGGCAATCCAGCATGCCCTCGTCCCGCTGCCATGACAACACATAACCGCATCCAACCCGATGATACTCCGTCAACCGCACATTTGCGGTGATCTCGACGAGTTGAACGACCTTCTCAAAGGCCAACTGGTTGCGCTTCTTCGTGTGAATGCCCTCGTGGACTGCCCAGCTCCTGTCTGCTGGAGAGGCGCAAGACCACATGTGCATCACCCGAAGAGCACACTGCTGCAACTCAGGCGCGCCCGCCCCGAACTAAGACCACCAAAATGCGCACTCAATCGTCTCGCCGTCGCCGCTGCACGCTCGCCCACAAGCACGCCCCTCCGCCCCGCCCCAATCCCCGAACCTGCCCTGCTGAATGTGGAAGTCCTCAAACTGTCGACATGCAAGGATGTAGTCCGCACCCTCCAACTTGAAACCCGTCTGCGTCAGAATGTACCTCTTGGCTTGCCCCACAAGCCAAGCATGGTACCGGTCAACCTCGCCCGAAAAGTAGCGAATGTGTTGCCTGCGGGGGTTCAGTAAGAACCCTGCGTAGTGAGCCGGCTCAAGCATGTGCTGTGTGCGAGCCTGCACACGCCTGATGATCCGGTTGACAACGACTTCCCCAAAGGAGCGCATGCGTCTGTGACACAACGGACACAATCCTGCGTCCACTCGATCATGAGGGACATGTACTGTCCTCCACGATCCATCCGCCTAAGCAACTCCATGACGGGCTGCATGATATGGACGATGGTGGCCACCCTTTGCCACCATGGATCCCATCTGATCTTTCGGCGCACCCAACGCGCCATGACACACACATCGGCAGACCACGGGATGGAAGCAAAAGCCCGCGCGTCATCCCCTCGCATCATGTCCTGCAAAGTGTCCTGCAAGGCCAACAGCCTCTCTAGCATGGAATAAACAGACGCGAACCGCGTCTCGCAAGAAAGAATAAGTCCCTTGTTGGGGCTGCGCGTCCTAAAAAAATGAAGGGCGGTCTGGTGGGTTTTGAAAAACACCACCAGCACACGAGCGCGTGTGATCGCGTCCACAAATGTGTCGCAACTCGTCCCCATGTCTGACAACAATTTGTTGCAGACATGGACGGAGCACGGGAGCCAAGTGATCCTCCTCAGTGCAAGAGGCATGGACGGCAAGGCCAATGCCCTTGCAGCCCCCACGTAAGCAGAAACAGAGTTAGTGCATATCGCATTGACCCGCAGTGGGCCGCCGAAGCTGAACTCGTGGAAGATGGTAACCCATCTCCGAAGGACGTGCACTGCATCGTTCGGCTCACCCTCTCGATTGATCGTCGTGTACACGACGACCCATCGCGAGCCAGCGGCAAGGAAATTCACGATCGGTCTCTCGTCTCGTGATTTCCTCCCATCGGAGAGGAGGGTGGCACCAGTCACCTAGAATGGCTACCTCACCTCCTCCAACTCCTCCGCCATCTTCGCACGGTGGGTTTCCACCGCCCACATACTCGCAATCTCGTTGTGGTTGGGGAGCACAGCGCGCGGGGAACTTCCAGGCTGCTCAAGAAGCACCTGTTGATATGCCTTCCAAGCCTGGTTGAGGAAGGCATTGAAGGAGACCCCGCTGGAATAGAGCCAGCGAAGGAATGCCTTCTTGTGGCGAGCAACCCACTCGCCACCATAGACATCAGTCACCTTCTGTTGGCGAAGCCTCTTTCGTGCTGGGGTGGCAGCCAGATCAGTTCCTCCTTTCTTCCTCTTCGAAGACCCCTCCGTTGCAGGTCTCTTGCCTTCTCGCCTCCGCAAGTCCTCCATCCTCTCCCCAGTGCCTGAATAAAACTCTAGCACGTCCTCGTGTTCCGGGACTCCCTCCTCGCCCGGGCCACGCACCTCGCGTTCGCAGTGGATCATGCCCTCCTCCGTGTCACCGCCTCCTCCCCCCAACGGGTGGTCTGGCGCACCATGCTCACCATCTCCCCCGACCCCTTCCTCCACCGGACGCCGCCCCGCCTCTCCTCCCCTTGCACCACCCGTGTCGGGCACATCGAGTCCGCGCTCCGCTGCATACCTGACAACCCTCTCCATCTGATCGGCCTCGAACTTTTGTTGAGTCCGTCACGCAATCTCATACAACGCCTCGTCGCTGACGTCCTTGCAGTAGTTTGTCTGTGTGAAGTGCCTCTGGCCTGAAACTGGGTCCCTTGGAAAACTTTGTTGCGAAACGTGCAACGAAGCATCATGACCCCCTTGTTGTCTACCTTCTGACCGACAACTAGGTACCGATTCACAGGCGAGCGGGCCCTGAATGTGTCCTGCACATGGTCTGGGGCAGGCTCATGCTGGCGGCGCTATGCCCTCCTCATGCCGACCACCCTGGCGAGACAACCCTCGCGGACTCCCCCCGAGCGCACCGCTGCAACCCAACCCCCGTCG